GAGAGATACATGATTATATACACCTGGAAAATCCTAGAGGGACTAGTACCGAACTTGCACACGAAAATCACTCACTACGAAAGCAAAAGACTTGGCAAACGATGCAACATCCCCCAATGAAAAGCAGGGGTGTCACTAGCACGTTAAGAGACCATGCAATAAGTGTCAGGGGCCCGAGACTGTTCAACTGCCTCCCAGCATACATAAGGGGGATTACCAAAAACCCCCGGGCAGTCTTCAAGCGGCACTGGCAACACCAAAATGGGTTCCTGACCACCGGGCGTGCTCGTACGTTGGTTTGCGTGCAGCCGCACAACGCCTGGGGATCAGGCTCTGATCCACCAAGGCCTGGTACAGCCCGGGGCCGGGGGGCGTTGACCCCCGAACTCTCTCCGGTAAAACTCCCGGGTTTTAAAATGAGTTATTTTAAACACTTGAGAAACTTTTTTCTCTGCTTTTCATGTGTTTACTTAAGCCCTATTTTAGGGGAAAATGTATTTTTAATATTGTGTGAATAGAATTGTGTCTTAAACTTTTAAATGCAGTCGACAAAAATTTAAACTTCACAAACTAAAAGTAACTTGAGATGCCAAAGTAACATAACTCTGTTAGTGATTGGAATAACTTAATTGATGAGTCTGTCACAGAGTATGCATTTCTCTAGATCCTATATATTTCAAACACAAAAATAAGGGATTTCGAAGAATATAACAGTTAAAGAACAAGCAAGATAACCGAAGGTGTCGAAAATATTTATTTAGACAGATCTTAACGCCTGCAAGATATCGCATATAACATCCATTTTTTTCTAGGGAGTATACCAAAGAATTAAAAGTATCAGATTTCGAAGGCTACAATATTTATAGAACATGACGCAGGCATACATGTGTGGGTGGTAGTAATTAGTATGTAAATATTAGTCGTTAATATACTGTAGTTACTTTACTGACAGTAGCAGATGTTATGGGTCCATAAGGGTGGGTGCTGAGTGGAACACAACAGAGACTTCTTTATATATGTATGTAATTTAAATATGCAAATGCAGGTTAAACTATCATTCGTAACGCTGTATGATAGTTACAGAGTGGGAAAGAAAGCTAGCCATGTTTCTTTGTCATGTTTCATTTCACTTAGTGGTTCAGTAAGGTGATAAGGATATTGTCAACCGTTTCTGGTCATCTCTTCCCTTTGTGCGCCTAATTTTGCAGCTGTACTACAATAGCCACTTGTCTGGCTTACATAGGTTTTTGCGCTTCTCCAAAAAAGTCCGTTTCTGTTTTCCGTTTTTATACTTCTGCATGATTGCATATTATCTGTAAGCAGGGATACACATGACTCATGTCTCTGGCATGTCAATTAAGTATATCAGGAACATTAGTAATGTTTAAGGTACCCCGTACCGACGACTGATATCGGATTTTCTATCTACTTTTGCAGCCTGGCTTATGGTCAGACTTCCGTTAACCACCTGGTCAACCAGGCTACTGCTTCCTTCAGTTCGAAGAAGCACCTAGTCATCAGAACCTGGTTGATTAGTGGCCCCCAGACCCTGTCTTTTTATTAATATTCGTTGTAGTGCATTTATCTGCTAATCCGGCTTGTATCTCCAGATACCCTCTTGTAGTCCAAGACAATGAGATCCACTCATTCTTATATTTCCTGTTTAGACTTCACTGCTTTGTTATAGAACTGGTATGTTCTTGAAACAGGATTTCCCCTTTCTAAACACTTTCTGGTTGTCGTTCTCATGTGTAATTTAAAAGATGTTATTATTCTTTACCTCATTAGTATATACCTGGAGTATACCTAGAGAGGGTTTCGGGGGTCAACATCCCCGCGTCCCGGTCTGAGACCAGGCCTCGTGGTGGATTAGGGTCTGATCAGCCAGGCTATTACTTCTGGCCGCACGTAAATGCGACGTACGAACCACAGCCTTTCTGACCAGATACTGACTTGAGGTGTCTATCCAGTGCCTTATTGAAGACAGCCAGGGGTCTATTGGTAATCCCCCTCATGCATGCTGGGAGGCAGTTGAACAGTCTTGGGCCCCTGGCACTTACTGTGTTGTCTCTTAGTGTATACGTGGCGCCTGCTTTTCGTTGGGGAAATGTTGCATCTCCTGCCTAGTCTTTTGCTTTCGTAGGAAGTGATTTTCGTGTGCAAGTTTGGTACTAATCCCCATAGGATTTTCCAAGTGTATTTATCATGTATCTTTCTCGCCTGCGTTCCAGGGAATACAAATCAAGGGACTTCAACCGTTCCCAATAATTTAGGTGCTTTATCGTACTTATGTGTGCCATGAAAGTTCTCTGTACACTCTCCAGGCCAGCAATTTCGCCTACTTTGAAGAGGGCAATTAGTGTACAGCACCAATCAAGAATATTTTAAGTCTTAGCCATTATAATAATCATAATAATAAATAATAATAATAATAATAATAATAATAATAATAATAATCAGCCACTGTGTAATTTGCCCAGTTTGATGTAATTTTTTATAGCCATGGATTTCACTTGTTTTACGGACTTTACATTTCGTACTGCCGGGAATTATTAATTGCATGGGTACCCGTTATACATAATTACCCAATAGCACAAATTTGTCCATTTCTCCGTGTTCGTAACCAAAGTCAGAGTAATAAAGAAATGTTGACTGACTACCTTAACATTTAGTGCAACACTGGCGGCAGGCGCCACCTTGACGAGTCTCCACTAGTTGATCATTCCACGAAGTCCAGTGTACCCGACAGCGATATATTGGCATCACATAATATAACTGTTTATCCTTAGGAGACTGGCTTTACGAGATTTACAGAGGAATAGAGAAATAATCTAGTCTAGCCAAGGTATGGTACTTAAAAAACTGCAAAAATTGAGACAAAAATCCTCCCTACCCTATTCGCGACATTCTGGCTTTCTAAATAAAATTATCTTGCGAGACTTCACTAATTTGTAATTTTCACATTATTATGTGACCTCTCATTAGTGTTTAAAAGTTGCAGATGAAATCAGCACAGGTCGTAGGTAATCTTCACAAACTTGACAGTGTCTATATTTTGAGATACCAAGGAACTATAGCGAGTGAAGAGATGAAATATTTTTTTTCCCCAGATACCAGACTTTCTCCGTATTGCATGGTGCTCCAGCACTTTCCTGGTACTCTCCAGTACCTTGAATATCCAGGTCAAGGATACAACCTGTAGTTTGATACCTTGGTCTTGTTCCCCTCTTTGTTTATCTAGAGGACATTCACTGTTTTCCATCTCTGGTAGCTGCTGTTTCCAGTGACTTATTTCAGATTAAAGCAAATCACACAGTGAGGAGGAACTTGGAAGTAATCAGTCTCTCAGCCTGAAGTCGATGTGTTCAGTCCATCAGACAGTCTTGACAAAAGTCCAGTTACTGGACTGAAGAAGCCACTGGCTGGTGAAACGTTGCCAGATTAAAGATACCCAAATGTTGCACAAGTGCCTCATTTATCAACTTGTCGGTTTTCTACACTGTTTATTTATAAATCACACAGTGCTTCTGTACCTTCTCTCGGTGTTCATAGTGATACATTGTCATGTCTTGGCATCTTAATCCTTGTGGTGGTACTTCTAAGCCTCTCTTTTCTTTCCTTTATCCTCGAATTTCCAGAAATGTTCCACTGAATTGTTTTCTTGGATCTGCTGTTCGGTTCCTCACATCCTGTATATCTTTGCCGTCCTTTGTAAATTCTTCTTTCTCCTGTTTTCGGTCTTACCTGCTAATATCCTTATAGTCTGACCTACTGATAACCTTATAGTCTAACCTGCTGATAACTTTATAGTCTAACCTGCTGATAACTTTATAGTCTAACCTGCTGATAACTTTATAGTCTAACCTGCTGATAACCTTATAATCTGACGATCAGTTTTGGTTTTGATTTAGCTGTTGAGGTTATGTCATTATACGTTATACACACACACATTATTCCCTATATTTATATGTAATCTCAGATTGCCTATAATTATTTACAACAAGTATTTATGTGTTTATTATCTGTAATTATAAAAAATCTTATGTCTTGATATTCGTTATGTGACTATGTCTGCATGTGTAATTCTTGCTGGGAAATTTTCGAATTCAGTTGAAGTGAAGCTGTTTTGTTTATAGCCTATCCCCACCAGCTTGAAAACCCCAGAAAATGTGTATTGAAAAACCCAGCCGCTTCACAAATATCCGGCCACGTAAGGGTAATATTGTATACTTTACTGTTTCAGTTAGTCTTCAGTAGTAATTACAGTCTTACAATATCTTGAATGGTGTCAAATATCCTCGTATAAATCTACTGTATGGGTACAATATAAGCTTTCATTATCCTCATTTCAGCACAGTATATACGCACAGAGATGCATCATTACAGTAGACAGGTCTAGTACCTGATAAGTGGAAGACGCCTAGCATGGGCGTATTGACCCATTCTAGGCAGGTTCCTCTTTCCTGATTTTTTTTTTTTTGTGTAATTGTGGTTTTTTTTTTTCCTTTCTTTTGTTGTAACTATACTTTGAACTGTCTAGGTATTTTATATCATTAACTACCCTAAGGTCCTTAAGACTATTCTGATATTCACTAGTCTCACACAAGCTACCAAATTCATACAACTGTGTTCCTCCAGCGATATGTTCAGTGTGATGTTTACGCCCACATCTTTTTTGTTCTGTTTAGTTTCTTCTCGGTCTTTATCTCCGTGTCATTGTGAAGTGGTTCATAAATTAGTTAATTTTCGAATCTTTCCAGCTTATAAGTTGGGTTTGAAATGAGCTGAGGTAGGATGTCAACCCGTAAATAAAAACGATGTACTTAAAAGATGGTATCACATGTTGTGTAGGAAGTATGTGCCGATAACATTTTTTGTCACTCCATAATACTGTTGTCTGCTTCATTGATTTTTCATTTGTCATTCACTGGTTAACTTTTAAAGATAGGTTGATGCGATTGATGAACATGTGATTGATTCTATATTTTTTAATCTTACAGCCATCCAACTGGCGGAAGGTGCGAAACGTTGTACAGTGGACGCCCTTCATCCAGACTTACAAGAAGCACAAATACCCTTGGGTACAACTTGCAGGGCATCAGGGTAAGTATTTAACATTTTGCCCAGTTATTGATTTTTTTTTTTTACTTTTGATGCATGGACAATAGTTAAAACTTGCATAAATGTTATTTAGTCGTACTAAACCCTACCCCCTAGTCGTACTAGATAGCAGATTTAAATAAGGTTTAGTATTATGAATCTATTTTTGTTTAATGTACGTGAAGTGCCCGTGTGGGTCATTGCAGAACAGTGGTGAAGGCTCGATACTCCGTGTGCCCATCATGAGACAGCCACACCCCCTAACTGCATTTACTGGATTATGTTGAACCAGGATTAAAATTATATATTTGCTTCTGAAGATCTAAGTTGTGTTGCTAAGTGTTAGCCGAGGTTTTAGTTTTCAGGGAATGTTGTTTTATGTATACAAGTACCCATCAATTATACAAGAGTTGGAGATGAAGCAGAGGAGTGCTAATATACTAGATGCTTAGCTAGAAGCCCTCCCCGTCCATGGATCTAGATCTCAACGAATTCATAGTAGTTAGGTTAAATAAAGTTTGTCATGAAACATGACAAGTGTTACCTGTGATGACCTGTAGCTGGAGCTTTTGGTCATCTGACCGAGGCCTTCCGCTGCTTACTGGTCCACTTTTTTTTTTCTGTTTTACACAGAGTTTTACAAGGTTAGGTTAAGGATTTCTAACAATCTACTAGCTAAGAGCTATTACCCACATCAGCTCAATGAAAAATTAAACTTTCAGTTTCATAGTCTCACAAATGTAGACAGCCTTCAAAATAGTCACTTTGTTACCTTTATTAAGCACTATTGTTCACTAAGACAATGACTTGAGTGTTGCACCATATCCTTCTGATACTGTCTACCTTCCTTTTATTAAACCTCCCCTCCCACGACTAGTTATTTCTTTTAGTAGTGCCACACAGTTCTCTCATTAGGTCACATGCTTTTTTTTTTTGCCAAATTCTGACCTTCTTAATCGTCTTTACATCGTATGTGACATTTTATGGGCAGAAGAAATAATAAACCTCCTGTCGCTGGTGCTGGACATAATGACACGCTCATTTGAACTTTCCCCTCAAGGAAGGTTCCTTGATGTTGGTGAGGGGCTCTTGATTTAGGGAATTGGATCTGTGCGCCAGTTCCCCGAATTAAGCCTGAATGCCTTCCACATCCCCCCCCCCCTAGGCGCTGTATAATCCTCCGGGTTTAGCGCTTCCCCCTTGATTATAATAATAATCATTTGAACTTTGGGTCATGTGACCAAAGCCTTACCCTAGTCCACCTGATAAAAATAAAAGATCACAGTATAGATGTGATGGCAGGTTTTCTATGTATATAATAAAAAGGTACACCACAGAGTAGTGTTCCAGGAGGATCCAATAAATCCTTGTCTTTTACTCCATTATATTTAATTTCATTTTCTTACATGATCGTACTAAAATGGAATAATTTTATGGGATTTTAACTTTAATAAAATTGACTGGGAACCACAATTCGATTAACCAAATAGAGGTGATCCAGTACTCTTTTCTCCCTCTTATCTCCCAAACACACCCCATCATCAGCCAACCAAATGAAAACCACCTTATTTTCTTTTTTGTATCATGAACACATCCAAAACAATATAGTCTTACTCTCGTTATCTGTAATCCCCCCTAATTTACACTTACACCCACCCAAATAACAGTAAACATAAAATTCCTAATATAGCTATTGCCTATTAAATCTTAAGTTAGTCCCAAGTTTGCCTAAGAGACACTTCGAGTGTATCATGCCAAGATAAATCCAATCCCATTACTAAATTTGTCATTTGTAATATATGATTTGTACTACCTCACTATTATAAATCTAATTACTATATATGTACTGAATTAGGTATGTACCCATATTGTTTTGTCCTCGTGTCTGGCTAAAACTATACAAAAATTCATTTTACGTAAAAGGGCCTAAAATCAGGAAAACGCTGCCTGAAAACTCTAGAACTGCCGACTCGACCACCATTTTGAAAAGCACCATTAAAAAACACCTCATCTCCCTAACACTCCCCGCCAGTAGCTAACCACAGGAAAACTACCTTAGCTTGCACGTATCCAAAACAAAACACAAATACGCTTATTTGATATCTGTGACTTCCCCTAATTTACATTAATGAATGTCAATATAAAATTCAGAATTAGTTTTTGCTACGTGATTCTTAAGCTAGTCATGAATGCCCGAAATGCCTAGCCATGCTAGGTGTTCTAGTGGTACACTCTGTAATTATTATTTTACTACATGTAAACCACACAATAACCAAATTCTGTAAACTCAGCATTGTAATCCTTATAGAGAATAAACTTCGAATTTGAATTTGAAGGTTGTCTAAGACACTCCATTATAGGAGCTTTAATAGAAACTGTATCATGCCAAGATGAGACCATTCCCATTAATTGATGAACTAATTGAACTAGTTGAACTACTTCACTTTTGTAAATTTAGCTACCTTACTTTAATATCAGTATGATTCATAACCTGTGTCAATATAGCGTAAGAAATATTATTAGGCTGCCCGAAATGCCTAATCATACTAGTGGCCTTTTTTGTAATAAGTTCTTTATTTTATAATTATCTTATAATATGTAAACCACACTTTGTAATCTATACAGAGAAATAAACATTTGAATTTGAATTTGAATAATGTGTGTTCAAATGTACTGCTCCATAACCTATATAAGTATATATAGTAAGAATTAGTATTAGTCTGCCCAAAATGCCTAGGCATGCTAGTGGCCTTCTTTGTAATTAATATTTTATAACATGTAAACCGCACATTGTAAGCTTTACAAGGAAATAAACATTTTGATTTGATTTGATTTTGCATGATTTGATTCTGGCAAACAAGTAAACCTTTGTTATCGTATTAGAAAAGCAAAACAAAATGGAAAGCTTATATACAATGAAATATGCTTTGTATAATGTCCTGTCTGTTGTTAGTGTTTTTCAGAAACTACTCTTGATTCTTTGAGTAATCACTATGTACAGTACAGTGGACCCTCGACCAACGATATTAATCCGTTCCTGAGAGCTCATCGTTAATCGAAATTATCATTAGTCGAGTTAATTTTCCCCATAAGAAATAATGAAAATCAAATTAATCCGTGCAAGACACCCAATAGTATTGAAAAAAAAAAAATTTACCACATGAAATATTAATTTTAATACACACAAACTGAAGAAGACATGTACAATTACATGACACTTACCTTTATTGAAGATCTGGTGATGATTGATGGGATGGGAGGAGGGGAGACTATGGATGGTGTTAGTGTTTAGAAGGGGAATCCCCTTCCATTAGGACTTGAGGTGTCAAGTCCTTTTCCGGGGTTACTTCCCTTCTTCTTTTAATGCCACTAGGACCAGCTTGAGAGTCACTGGACCTCTGTCGCACAACATATCTGTCCATAGAGGCCTGTACCTCCCATTCCTTTATGACATTCCTAAAGTGTTTCACAACATTGTCAGTCTCACAATTAAACACTTGTTCAGGTTTCAATTCTTCACTGTCTCTGTACTCCTTGAATTCCTGCACATATTTTTCAGCCGCTTTTTGGTCCAAACTGGCAGCCTCACCATGCCTTATCACACTATGTATGCCACTATGATTCTTAAATCTCTCAAACCAACCTTTGCTGGCCTTAAATTCACTCACATCACCACTAGTTGCAGGCATTTTTCTAATTAAATCCTCATGCAACTTCCTAGCCTTTTCACATATGATCGCTTGAGAGATGCTATCTCCTGCTATCTGTTTTTCGTTTATCCACACCAATAACAGTCTCTCAACATCTATCACTTGCGATCTCAGTTTCGAAAACATAGTTGCACCTTTGGCAAGAACAGCTTCCTTGATTGCCGTTTTCTTGGCCACAATAGTAGCGATGGTTGATTGGGGTTTTGTGTACAACCTGGCCAGCTTGGAGACACACACTCCACTTTCATACTTAGCAATGATCTCTTTCTTCATATTCATAGTAATTCTTACCCTTTTTGCTGTAGGGTTGGCACTAGAAGCTTTCTTGGGGCCCATGGTGACTTATTTTGCAGGTGCAATCACTAAAAACGCTGTGATAATATGAAATGTTCCGATTGTATGTTTGGATGGGACCGTGGTGGCTGGCTGGCTTGTAAACACTGGCCACAAGTGGACATGTCTCAGACGGAACGAATCATGTTGGTCGAGTTTTTTAGCGCTAGTCGAGGCAAAATTTTTGCGTTAAAATGTATCGCTAGTCGGATTTAACGTTAGACGATGCCATCGTTGGTTGAGGGTCCACTGTAGTCAGTTATTGTTGATGAATCATTGAATATACCATTACTTTATTATGAAAGTTGATAGGAACATGGATTATGTACCTTTTGTTGTTAGGTCATGGCCTCGTGTATTTTACTTTAAACATTTGCACTACTTGCAGGAAATTTCCGAGCTGGATACAAGCAAGGAACCATATTAAAGAAGTTATGTCCTGTAGAAGAAAAAGCGTTGGAAGCCATCTCAGCAGATATTTTACGACCTTATGTTCCACGTTATACAGGAGTGGTAAGTTCCTGCATCTCAATTTGCTTATAAAAAAAATTACTTAATGATCTAAAAAATTAAGTAAGTTTATTTAGGTATACACAAATGCAGTTACGTAGATTATCATACATAACAGCATACAGTTACATAGATTCTCATACATAGCAGCATATGTGTAGAGAACCTACAATAACCCAGAAATGTCAGACAAGTGACTTATTTCCATTGGGGTCCTGATAGGTACTGTAGTACTTTTCAGTGCACCTAGATTTACACTTCTTGATTATTTAAGTAGTTTAAAAAATGGGTAAGACAAACATATGAGGTTGCATGTGAAAGAGATTGTAAATTTATTTAGATACAGATCCACATAATTACAATTATCATACATAGTAACATGCAAAACAACCAATGGGGGAGTTGTTTTGCATCTCATATCACTTGTTCATGATTATTGCATAATAGTAACACATGTAAATTACCTAGGATAACCCAAAAAAGTCAACGTGACTTATTTCCATTAAACCAGTAAATCAGATGCTTTGCTAACCTTCTAGTATAGTATGATTTCAGCAATGCTTTTTTCTGCATTAAGCAAATTTACTCATTAATATAGCCCTTGTCACAACCAAATTATGATAATCAGTTGACCATTTAGTAGGGACTGACCATACTTTGCCCTCGTTTATTGTGTTGCTCAAGAGTTAGTGTTTTTAGTAAAAAAAGTAACCAGTTTGTTAAATGTGATACAATATATATGCAGTAGATGATGCATCCTTATACAGTAGTCTCCCCGTATCTGCGGGGTATACAATCCAAGACCTACCATGGATACCTGAAACCATGGATAATAATAATAATAATAATAATAATAATATCTTTATTTCTACAGGTACATATATGTACAAGGTATACAGGCCTAGCTGACATCAGTGACATACTACTACAGTGGAACCTCAAAAATCGAACTTAATCCGTTCCAGGAGCTAGTTCTAAATTCGAAAAGTCTGAAATTCGAAGCAGTATTTCCCATAAGAAATAATGGAAATACAATTAATCCATTCCAGAAACCCAAAAATATTCACACAAAAAATACATTTTATAGAGATTAATTACAGTTTTACATACAACAAATACTGTAGTTTTTAATTATGTATAGTAATACATATAAAATAACATTTTTACTTACCTTTATTGAAGATTGGTGATGGCATCTGGAAGATAGGGAGGAGGAGAGAGGGAGTTGGGGTTAGTGTTTGGAAGGAGAATCCCCCTCCATGAGGACTCCAGGTAAAGCCCTCTCTGGGGTTACTTCCCTTCTCTGTCTTTTAATGCCACTAGGACCAGCTTGAGAGTCACTGGACCCCTGTCTCACAAAATAACTGTCCACAGTCCTCTGTTTCTGACGCCTCTTTAACATTTCCCTAAAATGGGACATGGTTCTGTCACTGAACTTGTTTCAAAGATGGCTTGTTTCAGCTTGCTCAGGGTGGTACTTCTGCATAAACATTTGGACATCATTCCACTTGGCACAAATCTCCTTAATCTTTGAAGAAGGCACCTCATCCACTCCCTATATTAACACCTTTCGCAACATCAGCTTCCTTGATTTGTTCTTTCTTTGACAGGATAGAACTGATGGTTGACTTGTTTTTCCCATACATCCTGGCAAGCTCAACATGTCTCACACCACTCTCATACTTCTGTATTATTTCCTTCTTCACATCTATGGTGTTTCTCACTTTCTTTACCACAGGGGTACCACTAGCAAGTTTCTTTGGGCCCATGGCAGCTTATTTCACAGTCCCACAAGCACTAAATACAATGAAATAATCGTAAAATGCGTGAATGAGAGCGCAGGTTAGTGTTCACTCAAGCATAAACAAAGCTAGACTGCTCACGGTGCCTGCGCGGGGACGCGGACAGAGCGGGCAGCAGACAGGTCCTGTACCCGGCGGTCCAAAAATAGGGGCACGTTCGATAATAGGGACACAGTTTGTCCGAGAAAATGGTCCTATTTTCGAAACGTTCAATATGTGATACGTTCGATTTTTGAGGTGCCACTGTATATAGAAAGCTGCTTGTTATGCAGATCATTTTGGGGAAATTAGGTCAGTTTTGTCTCAGGATACGACCCACACCAGTCGACTAACACCCAGGTACCCATTTTACTGATGGGGAACATAGACAACTGGTGTAAAGAAACATGCCCAATGTTTCTACCCTCACTGGAAATTGAACTCAGACCCTCGCCATGTGAGCGGGAGCTTTAGCCATATACTGTTAAGTTGGCCCATAATGCCTAGGCATAATAGAGGCTCTCTTTGCATTGCAACCCACTATTGTAAATACAAAATCTCAATGTACTGTTTGCAAAGACATAAAATAAATAAATAAATACATACTTAGGATAAAGTTTAATTGATAAATTACACTCAAAAAATTTAGAATTATCACTTTTTAACTTATGGGAAGCACTTCATGGCTTCTCTTAAGCTTTGAAGAACAGCCATCATTGCTATTTTTCTGTTTTGAAGAACAGCCATCATTGCTATTTTTGTGCTTTGTGGCCATTATTAAGCAAAATTAAAGGTTATTTTTGGGCCACAGTAAGCCATGGATAATTGAAACTGTGGATACTGAATCTGCTGATACTGGGGTTTTACTGCATACCAAAGTTTTTCCCTTGAAATTCAGTTTACCTGGAGAGGGTTTTGGGGGTCAGTGCCCCTGCGGCTCGGTCTGAGACCAGGTCTCATGGTGGATCAGGGTCTGATCAACTAGGCTGTTACTGCTGGCTGCACTCAAACTGACGTATGAACCACAGCCCTGTTGGTCAGGTGCTGACTTTAGGTGCTTGTCCAGTGCCTTCTTGAAGACAGCCAGGGGTCTATTGGTAATCCCCCTTATGTATGCTGGGAGGCAGCTGAACAGTCTTGGGCCCCGGACACTTATTGTGTTGTCTCTCAGTGTACTCGTGGCGCCCCTGCTTTTCATCGGGGGAATGTTGGATCTCCTGCCCAAGTTTTTGCTTTCATAGGGAGTGATTTTTCGTTAGCAGGGTTGGTACCAATCCCTCCAGGACCTTCTGACTGTGTATTATCATGTATCTCTCTCGCCTGCAGTCCAGGGAATACAGATCAAGGACCTTCAACCATTCCCAGTAATTTAGGTGCCTTATCGTACTTATGTGTGCCGTGAAAATTCTTTGTACACTGTCCAGGTCTGCAATGTCTCCAGCCTTGAAGGGACTGTTAGTGTACAGCAGTATTCCATCCTAGATAGAACAAATGCTTTGAAGAGGATCATCATGGGCTTGGCATCCCTAGTTTTGAAGGTTCTCATTATCCATCCTGTCATTTTCCTAGCAGATGAGGTACATATTTTGTTGTGGTCTTGGAAGGCAAGATCCTCTGACATTATCACTCCCAGGTCCTTCACATTTCTTTTTCGCTCTATTGTATGGTTAGAATTTGTCATATACCCTGATACATTCTTAATTTCCTCACGTTTTCCATATCCAAGTAGTTGAAATTTCTCTTCGTTGAACTTCATATTGTTTTGAGTGAACCATTTGAAGATTTGGTTAATGTCCGCTTGGAGTCTTTTGGTGTCTTCGATGGAAGTCACCACCATGGCAGTCTAGGTGTCATCCGCAAAGGAAGACATAGAGCTATGGCTTACATCTCTGTCTGTGTCCGAAATGAGGAATAGAATGGGAGCGAGTACTGTGCCTTGTGGAACAGAGCTTTCAAAAACAGTGGCTGCCTGGGACTTTACTCTGTTTACTATTACTCTTCGTGTTCTATTTGCCACTATTCCCAAATTACGTATTGAGTATCATAAAGTTTTAATAAGTATCTAAATGAAACATTGCTAAGAGTTGAGAATTTTTTTTTTTGCAAATTTTTGTCAAAAATCTTTTTCAAAACTTGAAAAAAATTTATACTGAGTTTACCTGGAGAGAGTTCTGGGGGTCAACACCCCCGCGGCCCGGTCTGTGACCAGGCCTCCTGGTGGATCAGAGCCTGATCAACCAGGCTGTTACTGCTGGCTGCACGCAATCCAACGTACGAGCCACAGCCCGGCTGGTCAGGTACTGACATCTATAATTTTTTTGTTTTCCATAGATACAATATACTTTTGATATGAACTTTCTAAAAAGTAGTACAGTATGATGAGTACAGTACAGTAAAGGACCACAATGAAAATAAGTCACTTTGTCTGACTCTTTTTGGGTAATTCTAGGTTCTCTATACATATATGTACTGCTATGTATGACAGTCTGTGTAACTGTATTTGTGTATACCATGATACAGTGGTTTCAGTCTTTGAGCTAGTCTGCAAAAAGTTATTAGAACTGGTAAAGAATGTGTATTCCTCTGGGGAGTAAATTAACCACATATTCCTTCCTCTTGCCAGGTGGAAGGAACAGATGGAGAGAAATACCTCCAGCTTGAAGACTTGTTAAGTAATTATACTCTTCCCTGCGTTATGGACATTAAAATGGGAGTTCGAACATATCTGGAAGATGAGTTGGCGAAGGCAAGAGAAAAACCAAAATTAAGAAAGGCAAGGAAATTTTAATCTTGTTAAGGTGTGATGTGGAAAATTACTTTTTGTTATTTTGCTTTCATACTACAGTGTTATTTTTAATATATAGTATACAGACTGTATATTGTATTAGCTGTAACATAAATTTTTCATTTCACCTAGGACATGTATGAGAAGATGATTCAGATCGATCCTAAAGCACCCACTGATGCTGAACACAGAGCAAAGGCAGTCACCAAACCGAGGTATGAGAATGTAAATGGTTTATATACTATTTGGTACTATAGTGTACACACAAGCAAGGATGTTAGATGGAAGTGAGCAAAGGCAAGTGGCATTTGGAAAGTGATGTAATGGATATATATACGTCGTGCTGAATAGGTAAAACTTGCAATTTAGGTTTAAATACTAGCAGTGCTCTTCTTGCCGAATAAGGCAAGTGAAAAGTTATGTATGCAACAATTTCGCAAAATCATTCAGGACCCAATGAAAAAGAAATATTTCATTGTGTTTGTTAATTATTAAATTATTGTAAACTTATCTAAAATATATTTAGTTGGATTAGGCTAAATTTAGTTGCACTTGTTATAATAAGGTTAGGTGAGTTTTCTAAGGTTCTTTTGGTACAAAATTATTAATTTTTACATTAACATAAATGAAAAAATATATCTTTAAACATATAAGAGAAAATTTTAAAAAGGACTTAATTTTAAATGAGTTCTTGCTAATTGACCAGTTTTACCTATTTGGCACAACATATATAAATGGATTTAGAGATGGTAGTGAGCAGAGGCAAGTGGCATTTGGAAACTGATGTACTGTATGTATATGAATGGATTTAGAGATGGAAGTGAGCGAAGACAAGTTTTGGAGGTAAAAAGTGCAGTGTACCTTGAAGGCCAGGTGGGCTGGGATGTTGCAGTGCAGTGGATCAACATTGGAAGTTATTTTTTGTGATAATGAATGGATTTTTCCTTTGGGTTACAGTGCCATAGTAAGAAATGGCTGACGTGTTATAAATACAGCATATGTGTGCGCATCTAGGTAGTAGGTTGGTAGACAGCAGCTGCCCAGGGAGGTACTACCGTCCTGCCAGATGAGTGTAAAACAGAAGCCTGTAGTTGTTTTTCTTGATTTATTTATTTATTCATTTATTTATTTATTTGGACATGATACATAGTTGTACAAAGAAATATAGTGATTGGGTGCACATGCCAAAGCCCCTTGTATGCAGAACATTATGGGCAGCTTAAAATTAACTTAAGATTAACTAAGTAATGATATATTCAGTGGTAAAAATTACAGTAAACAAATTACTACATGAAGTACAAATGAGTATTTCAAATAAGAAGCATTACAGTTGTACAAATTTGTAACATAACAATGTATAATATAATCAAATCAGATCGAGTAAAATCAATGATTTGTAGTGCAGAAACAGGTCATATGGTCATTAGATGAGTTACTGTACATTCAAGAGAATGGAGTATTCTATTAGGTAATGTAATTAAAAAAAAATACATAGTTTGATAGGGTCACAGGTTATACATTTATAAGATTCAGTTACTCAGTATTTATTTAGTTGTGGTTGAGTAAGTGGTTTTTAAGAAGAGTCTTGAATTGATAAAGAGACAGTATTTCTTTTATATTCACAGGTAATGAATTCCAGATTTTTGGGCCTTTTATGCTAATTGAGTTTTTACATAGTGTGAGATGGGCACGGGGAACATCAAAGAGTGATATGTGCCTTGTGTTATCATCATGTGTTTTGTTGAGGTTGGTAAGGAGAAGTTTGTGGGGAGGGTTTATATCCAAGTTTAGTGTTCTATGTATGTAGTAGGCACAATAATAAGTATGGATGTTTTGTACGGTGAGTAAGTTTAAAGTTTTGACTGTTGGTGGAGTATGCTGCCTGGAGTGGGAATTTGTTATCATTTTGACTGCAGCCTTTTGTTGGGCAATTAATGGTCTGAGATGATTTATTGTTGTTGAGCCCTGTGCACAAATTCCATAGTGAGATAGGGGTAAATGAGTGAGTGATATAGGGCCAGGAGGGCTGACTGTGGAACATAGTACCGTATCTTCGATAGTATGCCTACGGTTTTGGAGATTTTCTTGGAAATTTGTTGTACACATGTTTGAAATTGAGTGTTATCAAGGTGGATTCCTGAGAATTTTCCCTCTGTGATCTTTGTGATAGGTGATCCGTTTATCATTATGTTAAGAGGAACATCCGTAGTTCTGTTCCCAAACTGAATGTAGTAGGTTTTGTCAATATTGAGAGTAAGTTTGTTAATCATTATCCAGGTAGATATTTTCTGTAATTCGGTATTTACAGTATTGGCTAGTATGACTGGGCTTGGGTGAGAGAAGATGTATGTAATGTCATCTGCAAATAGTGTGGGTTTGACTAGTTGTGATGCATTTGGTAGGTCGTTTATGTAAATGAGAAAGAGAAGAAGGCCAAGGACACTTCCCTGTTGGACACCAACTGTAATTGGCTATGTGGAAGAGTTTGCTCCATTTGTGTACACATATTGGCTTCTGTTGCTAAGGTATGACTTTAGGTAGTTGAGGGAGTTCCCTCTTATACCATAGTGTGATAATTTTATGTGCAGCAAATCATGGTCAACTGTGTCAAAAGCTTTACGTAAATCAATGAAGATCCCCAATGGGACTTCTTTTTTTTCTCGAGTGCAGTGTATATTTGTGTTAGCATGATGGTGGAATTGCTTGTGTCTTTTTTCTGTCTAATAAACATGTAAGATTTCAGGTATGTCTTGCTACTTCTACTTACACTTGAGTCACACTGCACATGCATGTACAAGTATATATATACACACCCCTCTGGGTTTTCTTCTATTTTCTTACTAGTTCTTGTTTATTTCCTCTTATCTCCATGGGGAACCAGAACAGAATTCTTCCTCTGTAAGCCATGCACATCGTAAGAGGCGACTAAAATGCCAGGAGCAAGGGGCTAGTAACCCTTTCTCCTGTATATACTACTAAAGCTAAAAAGAGAATCTTCTGTTTTTCTTTTTTGGGCCATCCTGCCTCAGTGGGATACAGCCGGTTTGTTGAAAGAAGATGTGTGTAAATGTATGCAAACTATATGTGTAGTACCAGAAGGTTGCCTGAAGATGGCCTTGCTTCTGAGTCCCAGACCAGCTCTCCTGGTTAATGACTTGATCAGCCAGGCTGTTCATGAGGTTTGATCAGTAACTGAATTGAAGACCTTACACAATTCCCTTTTGAAAATAACTGCCGGACTGCTGGTAATTTTCCATATGTGTATGAAGAGAGTTTCTGAAAAATCTTGGTCCCTTTACACTTATTGAGTTCTCTTAGTTTACTCATTGCATTGCGGCTTTTCATTGGAAGTATTTGCATTATTTGCTAAGTATCTTGCTCTTGTAAGAAGTAATTTTAGTGTGCAGATTTGAGATCATTCCCTTCAGAATTTTCCAGATGTGAATCATGATGTTACATGTACATATTTTTCTCTCCTACATTCCAGGGATTTCAGTTCAAAGGACTTTAGGCATTTCTAATAATTTGAGTGCTTGATTGAATTCATATGGGTAGTAGAGGCTTTCTGTACATTCTCCAGTTCTACAGTTTGGCCTGTCCTGAAAGGGAATGCTCATATACAACAATGTTGCAGTCTGAGAGAGCACAAGTGACTGAAAGAGTATCATCATTGGCTTGGAATCTCTTGTTTAAGGGTTCTAGTTATACAACCTATAATTCCCTTGGAGTTGTGAAAGCAGCACTGTTGTTTCTTGAGCATAAGATCTGACATTATCACTCCTGATTCCCTCACATTCCTCTTCTGCTTTATTGAATGGTTTGAGTTTGTTTTATATTCTGTTCCAGTTTTTAATTTTTTAGTTTGTCCATAGTTGAGTACAGTAACTGAATTTTGTCCTCACTGAATATTATTTGTTTTCTGTAGCTCACTGAAGACCTGGTTAATATTATCTTTGAATTTTGCTGTGTCCTCAGTGGGTGCCATTCTCATACAAATTCTTATATCGTCTGCAAAGAATGATACAGTGTTGTGTCTCATGTCTCTGTGTATGTTGAAAGTGAGAATAAGAAAGAGAATTATAGTGAGTATTCTACCTTCAGGTACAATACTTACCCCACCTTGTTGAGTCTTACTACTGGCATCTGATTTGTTAGAAAATAAAAAATCCATCTGTCTACTTTCCCATTATGTTTACACTACAATATGATTACACTACTAGAAGGCTTTTGTAATGTGTGTGTTTACTGTTTCTACATTATGTTTATCTTCTCTTGCATCCAAGACTGTGTTGTAATGGCCTAGTGATGGTGAGAGGCAGGAGAGACGACCTGTTCTAAATCCATGTTGCCCTGGGTTGTGCAATTACGTATTGTGATCCCATGTGGCTAATTAGCAGTCTTGCTTCTTAATCCTTTAAATTGTAGAGCTATGTTTGCTCGTGTAGCGCTCCGAACATACATCTACTTTTTTTTTTTTACATAAGAAAGCATGTAAAATCAAACGTAGATCTATGTTCAGAGTGCTACACGAGCAAACGTAGATCTACGTTTGGACAGTTTAAGGGTTAAAACACTTTCAAAAAATTTTGATTATGTGGGGCATCAGTACTATTGCTCTATAGTTTTTTGTGATTTCCTTGGTGTCACCTTTGAAACAGAGCTATACCCATGGCTTTTAATGAGTGTGGATGACTTCTGTCTCCAGACTCTGTCTTCATTGGTTATTTAAGACACAATAGTTTTTTGTAGTTATTTGATGAATGTGGAGTTTCATGAGTCGGGAACTCCATATTCATCAAGGACTTTTCCATAATAAAGGTTTGCTCTGAATCAAGTGTCTTTTTACCAAACCAGCGACTTAAACAATATAATGTGTATATGTGTAATGTGTATATGTTGGTAGACAGCAACCACCCAGGGAAGTACTACCGTCCTGCCAGATGACTGTGAAACAAAAACCTGTAACTGTTTTGCATGATGGTAGGATTGCTGGTTTCTTTTTCTGTCTCATAAACACGCTAAGATAACAGGGATATCTTGCTACTCCTACTTACACTTTGGTCACACTTCACAGACACGCACATGCATATATATATATATACATACATCTAGGTTTTTTCTCCTTTTTCTAAATAGCTCTTGTTCTTTTTTATTTCTTCTATTGTCCATGGGGAAGTGGAAAAGAATCTTTCCTCCGTAAGCCATGCGTGTCGTATGAGGCGACTAAAATGCCGGGAGCAATGGGCTAGTAACCCCTTCTCCTGTATACAATTACTAAAAAAGAGAAGAAGAAAAACTTTATAAAACTGGGTTGCTTAAATGTGCGTGGATGTAGTGCGGATGACAAGAAACAGATGATTGCTGATGTTATGAATGAAAAGAAGTTGGATGTCCTGGCCCTAAGCGAAACAAAGCTGAAGGGGGTAGGAGAGTTTCAGTGGGGGGAAATAAATGGGATTAAATCTGGAGTATATGAGAGAGTTAGAGCAAAGGAAGGGGTAGCAGTAATGTTAAATGATCAGTTATGGAAGGAGAAAAGAGAATATGAATGTGTAAATTCAAGAATTATGTGGATTAAAGTAAAGGTTGGATGCGAGAAGTGGGTCATAATAAGCGTGTATGCACCTGGAGAAGAGAGGAATGCAGAGGAGAGAGAGAGATTTTGGGGGGATTTAAGTGAATGTATAGAGCCTTTGAACCAAGTGAGAGAGTAATTGTGGTAGGGGGACTTTAATGCTAAAGTAGGAGAAACTTTTTGAGAGGGTGTGGTAGGTAAGTTTGGGGTGCCAGTGTAAATGATAATGGGAGCCCTTTGATTAAATTTGTATAGAAAGGGGGTTTAGTTATAGGTAAAACATATTTTAAGAAAAAGAGGATAAATAAGTATACACGATATGATGTAGGTCGAAATGGACAGTATTTGTTGGATTATGTAATTGGTAGATAAAAGACTGTTTTGAGTAGACTTCAGGATGTACATGTTTTATAGAGGGGCCACAGATATATCAATCACTTTCTAGTTGTAGCTACCTGAGAGTAAAAGGTAGATGGGATTACAAGGAGAATAGAAGCATCAGGGAGAGAAGGTGGAAGGTTTTATAAACTAAAAGAAGGAGGCAGTTAGGGTAAGATATAACAGCTATGGAGGATAGATGGGCTAATGAAGCATATTTAGGGGCAATGGGGTCGAAGAGGTATGGGGTAGGTTTAAAAATGTAGTGTTAGGAGTGTTCAGCAGAAGTTTGTGGTTACAGAAAAGTGGGTGCAGAGGGAAGAGGAGCGATTGTGGAATGATGATGTAAAGAGAGTATAAGGGAGAAAAGGAGTGAGAGGTCGATATGCGTGCGCTTTTTACAAAGGTAGAAGTGATGCAAGGAGGGAAGAGTATATGGAGAAAAAAGGAGAAGATTAAGAGAGTGGGTGAAGCAATGTAAAAAGAGAGCAAATGAGAGAGTGGTGAGATGTTATCAACAAATTTTTGTTGAAAATAATAAAAATTTTTGGAGTAGATTAACAAGTTAAGAAAAGCCTAGAGAACAAATGGGATTTTCAGTTAAAATAGGATGAGGAGAGTTAATAAATGGAGAGTTAGAGGTATGGGACAGATGGAAGGAATATTTTGAGAATTTTAATGTTGATGAAGATAGGAAGCTGTGATTTCGCTGTATAGGCAAGGAGGAATAACTCTTGTAGGAGTGAGGAAGAGCCAGATTGTGAGTGTGGGGGAAGTTCCGGAGGCCAGTAGGTAAAATGAAAGGGTAAGGCACCGGAATTGAATGGAATAAAGATAGAAATGTTAAAAGCAGTGGAGGGATATAGTTTTTGGATGGTTGGGTCAATTATTTTAATAAATATGGAAGAGGGTAAGGTACCTAGGGATGGCAAAGAGCATGCATAGTTTCCTTTGTAACAGGCAAAGGGGATAAAAGAGAGTGCAAAAATTATGTTAGGGGGATAAGTCCTGTTGAGTGTACCTGGTAAAGTGATGGTAGAGTTATAATTGAAAAGAATTAAGAGTAAGACCGGAGAATAGGATAGCAGATGAACAAGGAGGCTTTAGGAAAGGTAGGGGTGTGTGGACCAGGTGTTTACAGTGAAACATATAAGTGAACAGTATTTAGATAAGGCTAAAGAGGTTCTTTGTGGCATTTATGGATTTGGAAAAGGCGTATGACAAGGTGGATAGGGGGCAATGTGGCAGATGTTGCAAGTGTAATGGTGTAGAGGTAGGTTACTGAAAAGGCCAGTGAAGAGTTTTTTACGAGGATAGTGAGGCTCAATTAGAGTATGTAGGAAAGAGGGAAATTTTTTCCCAGTAAAAGTAGGCCTTAGACAAAAGATGTTTGATGTCACCGTGGTTGAGAATAATATATTAATAGATGGGGTTTGTAAGAGAAGTAAATGCGAGGGTCTTGGCAAGAGGGAGGAGTTAAAAGATAAAGAATCACACAACAAAGTGGGAGTTGTCACAGCTGCTCTCTTGCTGATGACACTGTGCTCTTGGGAGATTCTGAAGAGAGTTGCAGAGATGGTGGATGAATTTGGTAGGGTGTGCAAAAGAAGAAAATTAAAGGTGAATACAGGAAAGATAAGGGTTATGAGGATAACAAAAAGATTAGGTGATGAAAGATTGAATATCAGCTTGGAGGGAGAGAGTATGGAGGAGGAGAACGTATTCAGATATTTGGGAGTGGACGTGTCAGCGGATGGGTCTATGAAAGATGAGGTGAATCATAGAATTGATGAGGGAAAAAGAGTGAGTGGTGCACTTAGGAGTCTGTGGAGACAAAGAACTTTGTCCTTGGAGGCAAAGAGGGGAATGTATGAGAGTATAGTTTTACCAACGCTCTTATATGGGTGTGAAGCGTGGGTGATGAATGTTGCAGCGAGGAGAAGGCTGGAGGCAGTGGAGATGTCATGTCTGAGGGCAATGTGTGGTGTGAATATAATGCAGAGAATTCGTTAGTTTGGAAGTTAGGAGGAGGTGCGGGATTACCAAAACTGTTGTCCAGAGGGCTGAGGAAGGGTTGTTGAGGTGGTTCGGACATGTAGAGAGAATGGAGCGAAACAGAATGACTTCAAGAGTGTATCAGTCTGTAGTGGAAGGAAGGCGGGGTAGGGGTCGGCCTAGGAAGGGTTGGAGGGAGGGGGTAAAGGAGGTTTTGTGTGCGAGGGTTGGGGACTTCCAGCAGGCATGGTGAGGTTTTGATAGGATGAAGGACAAATGGTTTTTTACTTGACTTTTGCTGTTGGAGTGTGAGCAAAGTAACATTTATAAAGGGGATTCGGGGGAAACCGGAGGCCGGTTTGATCCGGGAGATGGGAAGTACAGTGCCTGCACCTGAAGGAGGGGTGTTAATTTTGCAGTTTAAAAACTGTAGTGAAAGACCCTTCTGGCAAGACGTGATGGAGTGAATGAGGGTGAAAAGTTTTTCTTTTTTTCGGGCCCCCCTCCTTGGGGGGAAAGGCCGGTGTGATAATAAAAAAAAAAAAAAAAATGTTAAGAGGAAATCCATGCTCATTGTCATGGTTGTGGAAATACTCTGCATCATGTGCAGGGTTGAAAAAAAAATTTTTTTACTTAATTTTTCATTATCCTAATGGCTGTGCATTTTAACAAAAGATTTTATTTAAATTGAAACCCTGAGTGTTGTAATCCATCACAACCCAAAAAAAGCCACTTTGTTTGGCTTACTTTCATTGAGGGCCCCTCTGAACCTCTCTAGGATGAAATCGAAAAACAAGTCAAAACAACCGGTCCCCCACTTACTGTAGGTGAACAAGGACAATAAGGAAAGGAACATCCAGGATTGAACCCGAGTCCTTCAGGTGCAATACACTCATGTTTCAAACTTTTACAGTTTTTTAAAATGTTGAGTGTAAATGCCAGTTTTTTTTAAAACATACGGGGGAAAAACCAAAAAAAATTTTTAACCCTAAATTTGCTGCTTATTTTTATAATATAATTTTCCTGTTTATGTTTTGACAGTAATATTTTTAAAGGAGGGCCTTGATGCTAGTGAGGGCTTGTATTAAAGGGAACTGACCCACCCTTTCCCCTTTCCTTGGATAAAGACTGATTATTCTAAAAAAGAATGAAAAGGCACAATACTGTGACTATGTTTTGGCCCAAGTCAAACCGAAATTCATCATAAGTTTCTATCTCGATGTGAGGTTATTTGCAGGTTTCTGTTTGATGTGCATTTTATTTGCGGGGTTACTATTCTTATTGTAGGTTATTTGCGGGTTTTTCCTCTTTTTGCGCGGTTATTTGCAGGTTTTTTCTATCTCTTTTGGCGGTTATTTAGTGCCATTCCCCAATTATTATGAGTCTATGTTTTAAACCTTACCCCCCAAGATTTTTTTTCTAATAATTATAATAAAAAAAAATGCAATAGTATTTTGATTATACCAATATAGTATACTTGGGTTAGATTATTGGATAATACTAAATCCAACATAACCAGTGTACGTATATACTTTTTTTGGGGATATCTTTGTTTTCCCAAAAATTAATTACAATTTTAATATTGCAGGTAAATTTTTAGGCGGAAAAATACCCCTCTACGCACACAAGGTTTCCCCAAAGAAGGAGTAAAAGAGGCGAGGCACTCCGCAAGGACTTAAAGACAACAAGGACCGAGAAAAAGTTCTTGACTCTCAACAGTTTTTTTAAAAGGTTACTCTCATCTGCTTAATTTGAATTTTATTATTTATTGCATTTTATTGTTTCCCTTAAAATGTAAAAATGACTTTTTGAACTGCCTTATATAGATTGTTCTTTGAAGGTGAAATTTAAAAGGGGTTATTCCAGATGGGCCCAAAAAAAA